CCTGCTACCTTTCTTGTCCTGTGTACTATCCACTGTTATTTTTTACACTTAATCACTCCTTTGATGTCTCCGTCTTAGTTCTTTCCTTTAACCGGGATGTGACAAGGTACTTCGGTAAAATTTTTTGTTTAATTTTTCATGTGTTCCATAATTTTCTTCTTTCCTGGGCGTAAATTATATAAAAATTGTCCGAATATTCTTTATGTCCGAGCGCTTTCGGCTATACTTTTAACCATTATCAAGGAGGAATTTTATTTTTTTCTTTTAACTAAATGTACGGATTCTTTTATGCCTGTATCTAGAGCCATAGTAATGTTTTATTTTCAAACACGGTCAGCATATTGTGACCGTGTTCATGGTTATTATCATTGAGTGTTGATTTTTTTTACTTTATATATATATATATATATAAAAGTAAAAATTTATTGATTTATATATATATATATATATATATATATATATATATATATATATATATATAATAATCAATAAGGTGGCCTGACGATTGCATCTAGCATGAAACAGACTGTCGCCTCAAAGTGTTGATTCTATGTTCACTTTTATATTTACACACGCTCCATCTCTGCTACTGAGCACTTTAGCCCATAAATATAGCACATCTTAAGTCTATATATATATATATATATATATATATATATATATATATATATATATATATGTGTGTGTGTGTATGTCTATTTTTGTTATAACTATAATAGTTTACAGTACAAATAGTTTACATCGCTACACAAAAAACTTTCATGTTTCGGAACTATAATGTTTTCTCTTCGGGCGATGTTAGATAACATATAATAAAAATGATTTATTTGGGAAATATGAAAATAAATCGTTACTTTTTTTGAAAGTTAAAAAGGTTGGGGATCCTAATGTCACAATTAAAAAAAACAAAAAAAAACTTGTGGGCATATCTGGATTAACCAATTAAATGTCAGATAAAAAATGAAATACATGCAGCCGATGTATCAACGAAGGGGACATAATTAGAACAAGTGAAATTTTTTGGCATTAAATTTTAACCCCTCTAGAAAAATATACCTGCGTATAGTGCAAGCGGTCAACGAAAATGCACGAGTTTTTTTTCAAATGAATTACCGTGTATAATGTGTTCACCTACTTATGCGTAAAAACTTCATAATGAAAATTTGCACTATGCTCTGCAGGCATGTGTAAACTACGGGCCCTAAGCTACATTGAGGCAAGCCTGATTTAATGAATAAAATAACGGTTATTAAAATGTTATCTTTTTCTTTCCCTTCTCACTTTCGAAAACTTTCATACATAACCACATACATAAACAATGATTTAAAAAAAAATATTAACATTTCGTTGAAGTTAACATTGTTAGCATTTAAAGCATTGGTGATTTTCACTACGGAAGATCATAATTGCAAATATCTTTTCCTTCAGAATCAGGAAACGTCAACGATAATTATTTTTTTTTATAGAGAATAAATATTCATCTTTTATAAGTATCTTCCTATAGTCAAATGAATAAATGGGAAACACACTGCATGTGTTCATCGTTAATCACACGGACATCAGTGATAATATTAGACCAAGACTTCAAGCACATGGCACAGTGGATAAAGGCGTTGGTTAGATCCAGTGATAGGACCCAAAGAGTGTGAGTTCAATACCCGAACTTTCAGAGGGAAATTAACAGGAGATAACTGATAACTGACATCCATCAAACATGGCACCTGGAACTAGAACAGTTTACCCCAGTGAGCGAAATAAAAGGTTCAGTTCGACATTCCAACCACCTGAAGATAGCCGGAGCGTACAACGACCGAAACGTTGTGATAAATGTGGCGACAAAGATGAGGACAATAGTCCGAATAATGTAAATAATGTACATAATACCTCATCTCAGAAATATAGACAGACTCCGAAGTCTTCAGGGTTTGTTTTTTTTTTTTCAATTATAGAAGGACTCTTTTTCTGTAAAGAAAAACAAACTTCACTTTTCCGCATTTCTAAGGCAGGTCCTTATTCGCATGGGCTTTTTTTTGGGGTGGGGTAGCAGCGGTATCTTTCAAGAAATATAATATTTACTTTTTTTTTTTTTTTTGTAGAGCGTCCCGCCTTTTACGTTCTGTGTTTCATGCTGGCTACGGTTCGAAAATGTGACAGGTACCTGCTATTCAGTATATGAAGCGTATAATTTTGCATAGTAACAGAATTAAAATACGTATACAAATGTCGGTCGTTCACGTCACCCATCAGCCATATACAGAAACCGCGGCTTCATGTGATTTCACGGCTGCAAGTATCTGGCTGTTCGTTCAATAATCTAATGCACAGGCAGCTATGCTACACAGAGCAACAATTTGCATAGGCTTATACACAATCAGACATCGGCCATGCAATGCTTCGGCATGCATAATGTTTTGCTCTATTCCTAATAGAACATTACACAAGCTTTTGCAAATTAGAAGCAAACGGTATTATTTTACAAATGAATATATCCGAACATTTATATCGATAGAGATCCATCTTAAGGATCTTAATATAGACGACCCATTGGACTTTCAAATTTGTATTCCATATAATGCAATTAATCAAAGAGAAAATGTAAGACAAAGGCACAAATATTTCTATGTAAATAAGATCGGATAACTTTATTTTTATACCTTATTGTGCACATTCTATCTATCTATCTATCTATCTATCTATCTATCTATCTATCTATCTATCTATCTCTTTATATTAATTATCTATCTATCTATCTATCTATCTATCTATCTATCTATCTATCTATCTATCTATCTATCTCTTTATATTAATTATCTATCTATCTATCTATCTATCTATCTATCTATCTATCTATCTCTTTATATTAATTATCTATCTATCTATCTATCTATCTATCTATCTATCTATCTATCTATCGTTTTTATATCTCTACTTCGGATTTTCCTTTATCTATCTATCTATCTATCTACCTATCTATCTATCTATCTATCTCTTCCTATTAATCATCTATCTATCTATCTGTCTATCTATCTATCTCAATTTCGTTTTTCATGCCTCTACTTCGGATTTTATCTATCTATCTATCTATCTATCTACCTCTCTATCTATCTATCGTTTTATATATATCTATCTCATCTTTCGTTTTTTCTATCTATCTATCTATCTATCTATCTATCTATCTATCTATTCATATCTATCTATCTCTTTATATTAATTATCATCTATCTATCTATCTATCTATCTATCTATCTATCTATCTATCGTTTTTATATCTCTACTTCGGATTTTCCTTTATCTATCTATCTATCTATCTACCTATCTATCTATCTATCGTTTTCCTATTAATCATCTATATCATCTATCTGTCTATCTATCTATCTCAATTTCGTTTTTATGCCTCTACTTCGGATTTTCCTTTATCTATCTATCTATCTCTCTATCTATCTATCGTTTTTATATATCTACTTCGGATTTTCCTTTATCTATCTATCTATCTATCTATCTATCTATCTATCTATCTATCTATCTATCTATCGTTTTATATCTCTACTTCGGATTTTCCTTTATCTATCTATCTATCTATCTATCGTTTTATATCTCTATCTTCTCTTTTCCTTTATCATCTATCTATCTATCTGTCTATCTATCTATCTATTCTATCTATCTTTTTTTTGCCTCTACTTCGGATTTTCTTTATCTATCTATCTATCTATCTATCTATCTATCGTTTTTATATATCTACTTCGGATTTTCCTTTATCTATCTATCTATCTATCTATCTATCTATTTATTCATCTATCTATTTTCCTTTATTAATCTATCTATCGTTTTTATCTATCTGTCCTATCTATCTATCTCAATTTCGTTTTTCATGCCTCTACTTCGGATTTTCTCTATCTATCTATCTATCTATCTATCGTTTTTATATATCTACTTCGGATTTTCCTTTATCTATCTATCTATCTATCTATCTATCGTTTTTATATCTCTACTTCGGATTTTCCTTTATCTATCTATCTATCTATCTATCTATCTATTTTTTATATCTCTACTTCGGATTTTCCTTTATCTATCTATCTATCTATCTATCTATCTATCTATCTATCTATCTATCGTTTTATATCTCCATCTTCTATTTTCCTTTTTATGTCTATCTATCTATTTTCCTTTATCTATCTATCTATCTATCTATCTTTTTTTATATCTCTTCGGATTTTCCTTTATCTATCTATCTATCTATCTATCTATCTATCTATCTTTTTTATATCTCTACTTCGGATTTTCCTTTATCTATCTATCTATCTATCTATCTATCTATCTTTTTTATATCTCTACTTCGGATTTTCCTTTATCTATCTATCTATCTATCTATCTATCTATCTATCTATTTTTATATCTCTACTTTTTCCTTTTTTCCTTCTATCTATCTATCTATCTATCTATCTATCTTTTTATATCTCTACTTCGGATTTTCCTTTATCTATCTATCTATCTTCTTTTTATCTCTCTTTTTCGGATATCCTTTATCTATCTATTTTCTATCTATCTATCTATCTATCTATCTATCTATCTATCTTTTTTATATCTCTACTTCGGATTTTCCTTTATCTATCTATCTATCTATCTATCTATCTATCTATCTATCTATCTTTTTTATATCTCTACTTCGAATTTTCCTTTATCTATCTATCTATCTATCTATCTATCTATCTTTTTTATATCTCTCTGCTTCGATTTTCCTTTATCTATCTATCTATCTATCTATCTATCTATCTATCTATCTATCTATCTATCTATCTATCGTTTTTATATCTCTACTTCGGATTTTCCTTTATCTATCTATCTATCTATCTATCTATCTATCTATCTATCTATCTATCGTTTTTATATCTCTACTTCGGATTTTCCTTTATCTATCTATCTATCTATCTATCTATCGTTTTTATATCTCTACTTCGGATTTTCCTTTATCTATCTATCTATCTATCTATCTATCTATCTATGTATCTATATATATATATATATATATATATATATATATATATGCACAACACAGTAAAGACAGGAAAAGGCCATTCAAGTCTCTGATTATGGTGTTCGCTGATTAGGACTTCACATGACAGCAACTGGGAAGGAAGAGAGAGAGAGAGAGTGATTTATTGTATGTAACTGCCTGTAAACGATTTTCACTTCTCCCATCAGTGTGCATACAGGACACTTTATATTGTTGTCTTGTCGTGGAGAAAATCTATCAAATTTCTCAAGCAACGGGAAAAAAGAGTTTATTTTGATTACCTACCCTTTGTACTAACGCAAAAACCGTCTATCATTACATCTACATCATTTACTTTATACACCCCTCGTCAAAATCTTAACACCAGATACAAAAGGCTTAAAAGAATATAAAGTACTGTTACTTTAATCAAAATATATTTGCGAAATATTTGCATTTAATTAGAAAATGTAATGTATCAATATATAGTTGTTATGAAAACCTAAACAGGTTATTTTTATAAATGTTTGTCAGCCAATAAAGCAGCGTCGATGAGCGCTTGGGAGCCACGAAATCCTTCAAGATTGCTTGATTTTGCGTAACCACTCTTTGATTTTCATACAACGCCCCAGACCTTTGTTAAGGGGCTTCAAATCAGGATTCAAAGTCAGCATCTCCTGGATCTCGTGAACCAAATTGAAGTAGAGACCTGTTGTAACAAGTATTGTCTTCCTTAGTCGATCCAATTAGACCTGGCATGATTATTGTGTTCGCCACAAAATAGGTGTTGACATTGAGTGTAGGATTATCACAGACGGCAGGCTCACCTTAGGATTCATCGGAGGATTTGCTCGGAGTTATCTACTCTCCCTCAGCTGAAGATTTAACTGGATTACTCAATCTTATTGTATTAATTTGGCCTCAATACATTAGCGGCCGTTGGAAACAAATAGCCAGTATTTTCCTTGTTGTCTTGTTACATCTAGAAACGAGTTGGTAAAGGGGCAAAAGAATGTCAGACATAAACGTATACCGACGGTTATTTATTGACGATTACAGTGAGCAAACAGTCGATGTGAACACAGCTAGTCGTTGAGTAATGGGTTTCAATAACAACAACATTATGGAAGGTCAGGTTTCGAGCGTTGCAGAGAATGTCTTCATAATCGGTAGTTAAATTAAAATAGCAAATGGTGAGATCCATGTTAAAAATAGGATTTAGTAGCGAAAAGGTTGCTTTATTCAAGCTGATATGTCTCCTTTATATACATACATATATATATATATATATATATATATATATATATATATATATATATATGTATATATTGCCATCCACACAAATGTTCACCCAATACAAGGCCCAAGGGCCACTCACGTAAAAGGGTTAGTGTAGGTTTATATCAGGGTAGGAACGGATAAGTGCTGGGAATATAGAGTTGAAGTAGGCTTTAGAAAGAACGGGAAATCCAGGCTTAAACAAGATTCATGAGTTCATTTACTTTTTTTAAACGACCTGGAACGATATATATATATATATATATATATATATATATATATATATATATATATATATATATTTCGATTATAGGTGCAGTTTAATTTATAATTATATGAATCATTCATACAAAAAACAGGTTCAGGGTTAGTGTATCTTATTGAAATTGTTTGCGAAGATGTATTCTCGCCATTTAAATCATTAAACTCTATATTTGTTTTTGTATGAAAGATTCATGTAATTATATATATATATATATATATATATATATATATATATATAAATATTCATATTCATACGGTGAAAAAAAGGGATATATGACATTCATACATCTATTCTCCGACCTTAGTACACAGCAGGACAGAAGAATGAATCCTATAGCTTTGGGTGCTAACTGGTATAGAATAAGTAGAACTCTAAATTCAACAGATGAATAAAGTCGTTTGGGGACCTCGTGGTACACTATATATATATATATATATATATATATATATATATATATATATATATATATATATATATATGAAAGTAGTATAATTGAAGCATTGATAATAAAAAAAAACAAAACACGGAATAATGCCAACTATGAATACGGCCAGAACGTGTTTGTAAAATAAAAAAAAATCCTATTACTATAGATACAAATATATCAAAATCATAAATCAGATCCTTGATAGTACCTAACAGAATAGCCGAAAGCGCTCGTATATATAGGACATTTGGAGGCGTTTTATACACTTTATATTCAGTAAAGAAAGTATTTCTGAGAATGTAAAGAAAAACTGAATAAAAAGCTCAATCCCAATACCTTGACAGTCATCTTTAATAAAACTTGTGTAAGATAGGGATTGATGCCCAAATTTATTAAGGACAGGCACACAGGCACACGCACATATATGTGTGCATCTCTCTCTGTCTTTGTCTCTCATATATATATATATATATATATATATATATATATATATATATATATATATAAAAGTCCTATCAAAAAAAAATTTTAATTTTAACAACTGGTCCCTTTAAGACGTTTCCGTCGTTTTAAAAAATTATGAGAATTCTTAAAAATTACTTTTTGTTTATGGCAACACTGTGTCTACTTCACCAAATCTGATCTCTGTATTTGCCTACAATATTTTCGCCGCTGACTTTTCTGGAGTGTCAATTTATCAAGATATTAATTAATAACTGTAGTAGCCTTAAAGAGGTTAAATACAAAGATAGTACTCGACTGAAGGAACAGAAACACGCGCGTAGATGAAAGAAGGGACATTTATTGTAAAAGAGAATACACTACTGAAAGACAGGTAATCGGGTGGCAGGCTAGTAATTCTCGAAGCAAGCCACCAGGTATACCCTGTGATCACTATATATAGCTATTGATATAGTCAGTCCACATAAGCGATAGGAAGTATGGGACATTACAATACAGCAATAACCCACAACTCTTCCACATATTTTTCATTTTTTACATACTACTAGATTGACAATTTGGATTCACCGCTTTACTGTTTAACTAGGTAGATATAGCTGTAAATTTTGTTCTAATAGTTTCTTTTCTCACACTTCTTTTATGTGAAAATTTCTTCAAGTTTCTTGTTTCTCTTTCGCCTAAATTCGTCAAAAATCTAAATGCAACGTCAATCGCCAGCTTCTGTTTTCCTTTAAGATATTCTTTTATTGACCTTTCTTTTTTATGAAAGTCTTCTCATTCTCTTTGGCTCTTAGCACTCCCTTAGCGTTTTGGTAGCATTATCGCTTTCATTGGGGTGAAATGATAAAAAGATAAGCACTTTCAAAGTTTCTTCTCAGTTTTCTTTATCTTCTGTCTTTATAACAATTTTCATGCCAGTTGAGCTGGTGAGTTTTCATCCTTGGTACATCGATTGCATAATTTTACGCGTAGTATTAACATTCAACATTAATCTCCATCTTTTGTCTACCTGAATCTTGCTCTTTTATTGTCATTTAAATAGTTTATTTTCTTGCACTTCTTCAATGTGGAATTCTATTTCGGTTTCTTGCGTCCCTGTCTCCCAGGTTCTTAAAAAAATCTAAATACTACGTTGATCGCGATCTTCTATCTTCCTAAAACCTGTTTTTAGTGTCCTTCCATTTTTTTTTTTTTTCATTATGCTCCAAGCAAGGCGTGAAGCCACTAGAATGCAGGGGGTTGCGGAAGATTTGGAGCGAGATCGGATAAGAGTGATAGAAGAAAGGATGAGGAGAAAGATGGTGGGTAGATCAAGGTAATTGGAGATGTCGATTGACATTACATTTGAATAGTTGGAGATTACAGCTCTCAGGGAAACAGTAATTGGGAAGGGTGTTCCAAAGGCGAGAGGTGCGAGGTATGAAGCTATTGGAGTAGAAGAGACGGCTACATTTAAAAATTTCTATAGTGTAAGGGTGGGAGCGCGATGCCAGCCTCGTAGGGCGCTTGAATTCGTGGAGTCTGGGAATCAGTGAAAGCAGATCATCGGAGCAATTACCATGGGAGTATTTGTAGAAAAAGACAGAGAGAGCGACGGCGCGTCTGTGAGAGAGTGACTGTAGACGAGACGCCAGATCAGGGCCAATTAGATTACATATCCGTCTCTGGATCTTGTCAAGCACTCCGAGGTAAACAGAAGGTGCCCCAGACCATATATGGCAGCAATACTCCATGCAAGGGCGAATGGTTGATTTGTATATTTGAAGTATCGATTCAGGGGAGAAACATTTCCTGGCGCGGCACAGAGAGCCAACTTTCCTCGCAGTGGACGAAGCAATTGACTCAATGTATTTGTTACATCTCAGGTCAGCAGTCAGCGTGAGACCGAGCAGACGCAGGGAGTTGCTCTCAGGAAGTTGACTATCAGACATTCTAATGGGGGGCAGGGAAGGATTTCTATGGTGGTTAATGGAGAGTAATTTAGTTTTTGAGGCGTTAAAGTTGACCAGCCAATTCTTGCCCCAGTTAACAACCGATTGGAGGTCCATTTCAAGACGCACGGCCAGGTTAGTTTTGTCGCAACTTTCCTATTCTAGTCCGCCTTCGATTATCCATATCACATATTCTGCTGTATGATATAAAACTTAACACTGTTATTCTTTTTGTTTTTTGTATTTACTTGGGTTATACCACGGCTAACGACCGTATATGCTGCCTTCATACAGTTGATGTTTCAAATTTTCAATTTATATTCTGTTCTGTCTATAAATATTTTCATGGCAATTGTCGTAGTAAACTTTCCTTCTTGGTATCCCAACTGCATAAATTTTAAGCGTAAAATCCCCATAATTTGTCTTTCTGAAAACTGTTCTTTTATTGTCCTTTCTTCTCTTTAAAGTCTTCTCAATTTCTTTCGCTCTTAGCAACCCCTCGGGTCTTAGTGGCATTATCAGCTTGCTTGGTGGGGTGAAATGATAAGAAGAAGTGTTGGAAGCCATCTTCGCCATTGCTATTCGCCTTCAGATTTCCGTGTCGCATATCCCACAGTTCAATGTCTCTACGCTCTTGTCTATACCCT